AATATATATTTTCTTTCCACGGGAAATCGAACCCGCTGTCCCCGCAAAAATGAATAAAAGGAATTGAGGGGGACCGCATCCAGTACTTTAGGCGATACCCCACAATTCCTTGGTTGAAATGGTTCTTAATTATGTATATAAGGTTTGAAACGCCATCTTTGTTTGAACGCCATCTTACTCTGAATCCGCCATTTTGAAAGATTTGCTTTGGGGGAGGATGACATCACCCATATCATGTTTGTGCATGACTTTGTTCGAAATGGCGTCTGCCTTTTCACTTCCTCCTTTGGGTAGACATCCGCATAGGCGAACGAATACGTTTCTGTGGACCAATCAGAAAGCTGAAAAATGATATCATGGTCTCTTAGCCTAGTAATGGAAATTCACTCGTGTTGTATGCTGCAACTTCAGTCCTGCCCTACCTCGCTGGTGTGACTGATTTTTTATCTTGCGTAAAGTATACGTGTTTCCTTTCTTCAGATGACGACATAAGAGAAAAAGCCTCGGACACTGTATGGATCCTGTAAGAAATGAAGGAGGTGGAAACTCTAAGGTAAGGTTTGTTGTTATTAGTATTGTGATTTTTATCTTGTTCTGTTGTAAAAAAAAACGTTTTTACGTTTCTTTTTTTACTCTTTCGAACACGGTGAATATTAGAAGATGAGATTCCGGATGGAGGGTTTTACCTTGGAGATTGTGTTCATGTTGCTTCAACTTTAACGGGCTGCATCAGTCCATATCGTCGCTACAAGAAAATGGTAAAAGTTCTACCCAACAGCGAAGGTTACTATCAGGCCATCGCTAATACCGATCGTTATACAGCGCCCGAAATACCACGATAAAAGACCGATCTCGAGTTTGCCAGAGAACGGAATCACAATTGAAAGTTCCGATTTCAAAAGTTACCTTCACACAGATCAAGAAACACATGGACGGACAATGTTTTTCCAAATCCATCATCATCACGGCAAGCAATGGAAAACAGATGATAAAACAGCTGTGCTATCTCTACGCCGTCGCAGATAAGTTTATTCGTCCATAGACTTTTTTGAGGTGTCAAAAATATACAGGACCCCTACAGATGAAGATGCCCAGTTCTCTGGATGTGTTTGGAAGCACTACTTTAGAGATCCTTAAAAGCTTCGGAAACTCTTGATCACGATGCCCGATAGATTTTGAAAGAACCCGAACGTGCCCGAAGAAGTATGAAATCGTATAGACATTCAAAATTGCTTTGTTCAGAACGGCAGAACTGGACAATTTTTATGATAACTTGTGGAACGTACACATTTCGGCTTGAAAAGTCTTTCTTGATGAAACATATCTAGGTGTAACCGTCCAATCATATCCACTGTAGCACTAAGTTTAAATATCTTCTGCGCGTTTATTGAATCCCTCATTAGGTTGCTTATCAGTGCAGTATCAAAAGACATTCATACGACCTGCGCAGTATCTTTAAAATATAATTCTGATGATAATTGAGAAGTTTTCGTATCAAAACCATGATTAAGTAAGTTTTTCTATCATGGCTCTGTAAGGGTAACGTGTTATTGCTAGAGGAAATAAGTCTTTCATTTAAGCTGATATCCACTTGAGAAAAGAGGGAATGCAAGAAACAAAGTTCACGGGTCCCTACCTTATCATCTTTTCCGAGAGAGGCGCCATTGCTTTTTAAAATTTTAACTTTGACATATAACTGAGTTTGAGATAAATCCAAATAGTCGTCACCACTACCCGCGACATTGAATTCGACAGGACTTCCATCTGTCACATTCGCAAGGGGATGAAATTCTATCCATTGTCCTCTTTCTATAACTGTTTGGGTTGGAGGTAATGTAAATAAATTAAGTTCAGATTTAGCGCATTCTGGTGAATCTTTTAAAAGGAATGCCATTATGAGTTGAAAATATCACGTCGTTGCACTTTCCTGGCTTTAGATGAAATGAAGCGTTTGGGAGACTTGCGCTTCCTTTTAAACTTTCCGTGACCAATCATCTCATCTGCTTTCTGAACTGCTTTCTTTGCTAATTTTTTCCCAGTTTCTTTAGATCTGGTTTTGAGGGATGTTTTAAATTTTTCCCCCGATAACACGTCGCTTGCAATTTGCGTTCCTGTACGTAGTAGAGCTTCTTTTCCAACAGTTTTTGCTCCCTTAATTAAAAAAGGCATGGCGCTACGGAAAAGTTTCGCAAAAAATCCACCTATTCCGTATCCTTTCTGTAAAACCATTCCCTGATAATACGGCAGACCTTTTCCAGTTTGTCCCACATAATAATCCTCAAAGTCTTTGGTGCAACAAGCATATGGAATGAGCATTTTGATACAGCTTCTAGAACGTTTACGCTATAAATGAATATTTTTTCCCTTTGTTGAAGCTTTTTATAGAATCTGTCTCAAACGAAAATGGAGCACTATGAAAACTTTACCTCTTTCAAATGGAACCAGACTCCCCGAATGAGACCTTATTTTGATTTCAATCGTTTGAAAATGTTGACGAATCACTGGTAAATATAAAGGTCGAGAATAATGTTTGTCAATTATCTCTCCGTCCTTCCCTTCCACTGTTACAATTTTCAAAAGGGGAGCTTGTACATCTCCTACGATTTGTGGTTCAACTAAATCACAGTATACGTACATAACGGGAAAAAAACCGTTCGGATTCGCTACGAAAGGACTTTGGACATTTCCTTTGTAAACACCCGGTTCAAATCCTAAGAGCTCAGCTAATCCTTCGTGAAGAACCACTTTTGATTGTTCATCCGTCTTTATCGTCACTCTTTTCGTAATGTCATGATAAGAAAATTCAATTTTATTTTTATGTGAAGCTAAAGTCATGGCTTTTAATATGTCAGGTATCGTTTCATAATAACCAGGCGGAATACGCCTTCCTTCTAGTTCTCCATTGTCGACAGCAAAACCAAATAAATTGTTATCTTTTCCGACGTTATACCAAGAATGTGGATAAATAATATTTAGGAGCGCAAGTTCCCAATCCCCATTGCTGAGCTCAATAGGAGATGGTAGTTGGGTAATAAATCGAGATATTTTATTATCTGGAAAAAATTTTCTAGAGCTATCGCTTATGAGTGTTAAGTAGAAGGACATTTTCGTTCAAATGAAAAGTAAATACAATGCACACGTTTTTTATATCATTTTTAAATTTGATACCCAAGTATTAAATTTTTCAGGGTAACCCTGAAATTTAACAAAGTATTCTGATTTTCCACGATGCTTTCTAGTCTTCAGTATCTTTTCGACAGGATAGTACCCACAGTCCGCTATTTTTTGTAACTCTTGCTTATAGAAGGTTCCTTGTATATCTTCTCCCGCTAAATCTTTCAGTTTGTAGACAATGGGAGTTCTAGGCACAATCTGATGAATGGTAAATATTTCTCTTGTCCAATTTTGTTCATACCCCTTCTCGAAATGCAATTTATCGCGACGAATGCGCACCGTATCTCCAATTTTGAAATCTGGGGGGATTTCTTTCTTTACAGTCGATTCACCATATAATGTTTGCCATACTTTGTGTTGATTTTCTTCTGTGACAGAAATGGGTTCCATTTTTATACTGCGATGCCACGTATGATTATAACTGTACATGAATTTATCTAAGACGTCAATATATTTTTTTGTATTCATTTCCGTAAAATATTTCCACATTTTGGTCTTAAGTGTCCGATTAAAACGTTCCACAATGGAGGCTTTTGTTTCATTGTTGGTCGTGAAGAAATGAACTTTTTTCTTTTTCAGATATTTTTGTAAAAGTGAGTTCTTAAATTCCGTTCCATCATCCGTTTGTAAATTTTGTGGGGTTCGTTCCGAAAAGATTTTTTGAAAAGCAGCAACAATACTTTCTGCTTTTTTATCCCTGAGAGGAATCGCCCAGGCGTATTTGGACAAAATATCTATGCAGGTTAAGATATATTTAACACCCTTGTTTGCCTTTGCAAGAGACTGCATATCCACCAAATCTGCTTGAAATTGCTCATTCAATCCTCCGACAATCACACGGTTTCTTGTGAATTTATGTCTCAAAGGTTTGTGTAAAGTATATGAATCTTTTGTTTGTAACCATTTCTTAATCTTTTGCGTTTTCACTTTACCTTTCAAGGCGCGATGTAACGTGTTGATGCCGCCAAAACTACCGGGAACTTGTGGATCGTTATAAAATGAGTTTAGTTCATCCGCCATGATGTATGATTAAACCTATTTGATAAGTTAAGTGATTCATTTAACCGTATTAAAATATCTTTGGGAAATTTTATTCCGAATACAGTTTCGGACAGAATGTACATAACGAAAATTAAGAAAAAATACAGGAGCACAAAAACAACCTCCTCTTTTGAGAACGCCATCCTAAATGATGGGCGAATATAAAATGGGTGTCTTATATACCTCTAGGGATAGGTACGAAAAGAAAAAATTAAGCTACGGTAAAAAAATAACTTACTTTGCATCAGAATGGTTCGTCATAACTAAAATAAAATTCTCTTACCTTTATGTACTCATCCATTGGTAGCAATCACCTAAAAACCTTACAGAAAACATACACTGTGAAAAAAAAATGTGTGAAATAAAAACAAAGAATGTAACATGACAAAATTTTTTTTTATTCGAGGGCACCTTTAAAATATTTACACAGATATTTCATTACATTAAATCTTCAAAGTACTCACTCACATTTTCAGGACAAAAATATTTCCTACTTTTCTGTAGGACATCTTTCATACAAACGTTTTTCAGAAAGTTCTGCGTCAAGTAATCGTGAGGTCTCAAAATTTTATTAATTTTATTAATTTCAAATTTATCAAAATTTTATTAAGTTTTTGCATTCCCTCTTTTCTCAAGTGGATATCAGCTTAAATGAAAGACTTATTTCCTCTAGCAATAACACTTACCCTTACAGAGCCATGATAGAAAAACTACTTAATCATGGTTTTGATACGAAAACTTCTCAATTATGATCAGAATTATATTTTAAAGATACTGCGGGTCGTATGAATGTGTTTGATACCACTGATAAGCAACCTAATGAGGGATTCAATAAACGCGCAGAAATATTTAAACTTAGTGCTACAGTGGATATGATTGGACGGTTACACCTAGACATGTTTCATCAAGAAAGACTTTTGTTGAACATGGTCGACATGAAAATTAAACTTATCCGCAGCAAACCGGAATTTTGCTTATTGGGAGAAGGAAATTTTAAAGTGTCGTTGGAACATGCCTCACTATTTGTAAGCAAAGTTCGAGTCAGTTCAGGTGTAATTTTAGGGCATGCAAAAAGTTTAGAAAAAGCGACAGCAAAATATCCTATCAACCGAGTGCTTTGCAAAGTGTATTCTATTCCATCAGGAAATATGAGTTTTGTCCAAGATAGTATTTTTACTGGTCAGATGCCTAAACGCTTAATTATTGCTTGCGTTGATAACGATGCTTTCAATGGAAACTATAAAAAGTCTCCCTTTGAATTTAAGCATAACCATATCAATTTTATTGGCATTTACGTAGATGGGCAACCTGTGCCTCATAATCCTCTTCAACCTGATTTTATGAATAAAACCTTCATTCGTGCCTATCAGAATTTATTTACCAATGCTGAAAACCGGGGATTGTATCTTTCGAGATCAGAATATCCAGAAGGATATTGTTTATTTCTTTTCGATCTATCACCTGATTTGTGTGATGGGTCTCATTTGAATTTAGTGCGTCATAGTAATTTGAGACTGGAGGTAAAATTTGGTTTTCCTCTGCCAATAACAACATCGTTAATAGTCTATGCAGAATTTGAAAATTTAATAGAAATCAATAAATCTAGAAATATCATCTACGATTTTGGTAACTAATGAATTCTCTGCAGATCCATCGAATACTCTCTCGAGATCCTCGTTCTCAGAGACATTTTAAAGGAGTTTTTCCCTCGGACATAATTCCAAAGCTTCAAAGTTTCCCAGCTGCAATAGTGATCAACACGGATAAACATGACGAGACAGGAACGCATTGGCTACTGTCTGTCTATGGTAAGAACAGCTCTCGCCAGTTTGTCTGCAGCTGTCTGTTGCCGTAGAACGAGCCCTAACCCTTTTCATAGGGGTTGTTCTTGAAGACTCACTTCTGAGTTTGCCACCTTGGCGCATTTAAAGATGATTTGGCGATATTCACATTTGTTTTAGTTTCAAAAAAATATCATTGACCCTTTGCGTCGACCCCGACATCCAATTTCCGAAAATGAAAATTCGATGGCGTAGATAAAGCTTTTGCAGTCAGAAACGGTCTTTGATTTTGCCGTGTGAGGTAAGTCGCTGAATTGCCATCCCTCTAGATGTACAATGAGTAAAAATAAATTTGTAGGGAAATAAATTTAAAAATCCGTGTTTATTTTTGAAGAAAATTTTAATTTTGACATTTAAAAAAATCAGTATATTTTGCTTTTTTTGTTTATTGTTTGCTTGTAAAATCATAGATGACATCTTAAATCTACTTGATTGCACCATTCTCTGTAATATGTATAGACGCACTTCATAAATATAAATAAATTTAATTTTTATAGTTCTCCCCTCTACTGATCTACCGTGAACATTAAAGCAATTTCTTCAGTCTTAAATGACGTTCTGCTATGTTTTTATTTCAAATTTTCTGTTAATTTATTGCTTTGCTTTAATAATGACTAAAAATTCATCATTTTAAATGTATATGGAATCATCTTGAAAGAAAAGCGTTTTTTTACGTACCCATGCTCTCAATAAATACTTTTTGCGAACATTTCTTCTTTTCCCATACCTTTAAAAACTAACCAAAAGCTGGTTAATTTAATGGCGGAGGAAGCGAAGGTGAATTAAAATCAAAACTGCTTTTTCCTTAATTACCAGTGGTTTGGGTTGGTTTATGATTACGGAAAGCCCCCAGGGCTAAATGCCTAAGAGAAGGGATGCCTTCATGGAGGGCTTGCTAAGGGAAACTGGCTGTGCGCCCAAAACCGTATCATGTTGAAAATTTCTTAAGCTAAATTGCTGTCAATCCATGTTTCATCTATGTAAACGATGTGGCGTTCACTTGCTCTGAGTTTTCTCATTTTCGCGTAAATAATTGTTCCTCCAAAATACAATGTGAGGTCTTTCGATAAGAATTTTTTTTCCTACGCATTCCAACGAAAATTCATTGAACACAAACTTTGCACAAAGAGTCTTTTTGCCACGGGAAGTCTTTTTTTGCCTCAAGAAGGCAGTAATTTCTGCACAGATGGCACTTTCGTTCTTTGTAAAAGTCTTGTATTGTCTGCCGTAGAACGCATTTGTCAAAATCGTCAATTTCACACTTATGATAGCAGGGCTTTTAACATTTCTTTCCAAGGTATTCAGAAGTTTATTTTCACCCATTGTTTGATACTTCGCTCTTCAAAAACTTAAGAAAGAGGAACTACTAAAGAGTTCCTAAGCTTCAGAAGCGTAAAAATTCCTGCAACATTATACACGATTTGACGTGACTGAGATTTAAAGGTGACCTTTCTAAACTGGAGGGCTTTAAAAAATTGGCGATTACAAAGACTACGAAAATCAAGCAAATAGAAGCGAATTTGAGCAAATGCTAGCACAAAAAGATAAACAACGAGAATAAAAATAGCTAATAGTAATAATATAAGGCTAAGAAAAGATGCGTGCAGCTGGAATGAAGCCGTGAAACGAATGATAAACTTCCCTTAAGCCAACAGTCGCCAAAAACAAAATAACAATAAAGCAAGCCTTGGTTCGTCTCTATTTGAAATATACTAGCCCTGTTGCTATAGCAACCGCCACCCTCCAGACACTGTAGCGGGAGCTGTTCTTACCGTAGACAGACAGTAGCTATCTACATACGGTCGAATTTTTCGATTCCTTTATTTCACCACCCTAAACCTATGGAGAAGATATATCCAGATACATCGAGACGTTTCATCATGCTTTATGGAACCCAATACCATTTAAAAGTCCAACGTCCAATGTGTGTGGACAATTTTGTATTTATTTTATTGTAAAACGATGTCAAGGATTTTTGATGAAGATTATTGTAACTCCACTAGCTGGGAAGAAAAATGATTTTAGAATGTATCAATTTGTGAAAAAATTATATGCTGTAAATATAATTTTTAAAAAAATAAAAAAAAATTTAATTTTAATTTTCTGTGTTTGTCTTTTGCTTATGTATTTATACTTACATCCAACAACAAAAAAAGACAAAAAAATAATAATAAACTTTTTTTTAAGCCAAGAAAAATGATTTTTTTTCCCTTCACTTTCAAAAGTAAAGATTTTTTTCTTTACCTGCTGTTAAAAAAAAATAAATACACATGAAATGAAAGAAATTTACTATTTATTGAAAAAGGTACAATTAAAGTGAAAAATGTACAATTAAAGATGAATCCACTTTGTGCAACCTGTTCCATACATAAGTCTTGGTTTTTTTTCTTACAGGTAAACCATACATTTGCCGTTTCTCGTGTAAATTGGGATTTTCAGTTTTTACAAAATCCCCAAATTATACTATCAGTGTCGTGATATAATACTGCACGATCTAATTTATCCGTTTCGGAATATACTTTTAGTCGAGCCCAAACAGTGGTAAATGCCGCTAAGAAAACATTTGAAGTTGTGTCTTGCGATACAAATTTGTCAGTTTTTTCCACCATATGGCTGCCACTTCTTCATTAGGAAAACAAACATCTTTAACCTAAATAATAGTAAATAAAATAGATTTAAAAAATTCACATTTTTTTTTTTCGGGAAAGTTGGTTTCTTTAAGCATCGATTGAAACTGCTCAAATCCTGGTGGCTTCATTTTCTTATTACGTATCAGATGTGAAATGAGGACTTCAATGTTTGTATGGCGCAGAACATTGTCGTGCAAAACCAGTTCTTTAGCAGGTGTCCAAGAAAAAAATATCTTCAAGACTTTTTAAAAATAATAAAATGTTTTCGGCCACTTTCTTATGCTTGACAGGAGCCGATTCCATAATAACTTCAGAAATATCAGGAGGTTGTTTGTCGATAATTTTTTACTCTTCGGTAACGGGTTGTACTTGATTCATCTACGGGAACTTAACAACTTTTTGAAGAATATGTAGGTATTGTGTTGCCTTTTCAGAGTCTGGAATTTTCTTGGACAGGATAGTCTGCATTTCTTGATCCAATTCCGATACATGATCCTCTGAAAAATGTTGTGCTCGATCCATTGGCATTAGGATAAATTTCTTAGCGTGATCCATCCCTCGGGGGGCTCACTTTTGTGAGTACGGGTGTGGCAATCCCGAGGTACCCTAGCCCTTCAGGGGATCATCTTCTTGGTGAGACGGGTGTCACGATCCTGGAGCCCCAGTGATCTATCCTCTTTTCCGTCTCCTCTCCTCTTGGCTGGATCTTTTCCTTCCTTCTCCCTTGTGGTTTCTCTCTACGGAGTTTTTGGGGCTCGTCACGAGAGGCTGGAACAGACCTTGTTTCTAGTTTTCGAGAGTGGCGAGAAAACTGCCCACGTGTTTGCCGTGCGTGGAGACCCGTGTCGCTGGAAAGGAGGGTCCTGGTAGTTGAGGGGCGAGGTACTGTCCCCAACACACTGCTTTGGCCTCTGCTTCAGCTAAACGGGAGGCACCTTAGTCGTCCTCACGGGGGTGTCAATCGGCTGGTCACTAGTCCTTGTGTCAGTGGCTTGGGGTCAAGCTCTCGGGAGTACCTGCTTTCGGGAAAGCCGACTGTGGGGCTTCAGTTTGCGTATAGGTCCGGCTAGCCCTAACACAGGAATCTGTGTTCCCTTGTTGGGCTCCGTGGTGTGCGGGGCCGTCGGACCCGAATCTTTATGCTTTCACTATGGCATCTCATATTTACTTAATAAAAGATTTCGAGGTAATTCCAGTCACTCAAGTCAATCCTGTCACTCAAATCACTCCTGTCACTCAACCTAGTTCTGAAACTTCTACTCCTAAACCAGTCACTCAACCTAGTTCTGAAACATCTACTGTTAAACCAGTCATTCAACCTATTTCTGAAACGTTCTACTGCTAAAAACCACTCACTCAACCTACTTCTGAAAAGTCTACTGCAAAAAAAATTACGTACAGATACAAATGAAAAAAATCATAACAATAGTCCCCGTTTCCTAGTCATCTCTAGTCCTTCTGGCGAAATGCATAAGATGTCTCCTGTCGTAATCGTAATAAACAAATACATCCAGTCCTGTATTGGTGAGCCGAGAAATAGAAATATAAAGCGTCTCCGCTCCGGAGACTTGCTTATTGATACAACCTCAGCCACCCAGTCTGCTTCTTTGCTTCAGATAACTAAACTTGGGCAAGCGAATGTCACTGTAACACCACATAAGTCACTCAACTATTGTCGGGGTGTAATCTCAGAATTCGACCTTCTGTATGTTTCTGAAGAAGAGATCGCTTCTGAGCTCTCCGAACAAAATGTCTGCGGTGTTGTAAGGCGGATCAAGATGCGTAAAGAAGGTAAGTTGATAGACACGAAACACGTGATCCTTACCTTCAACACGCCTGATCTGCCTAAGAATATTAAGGCCGGATATCTAAATATTCCTGTAAGAACCTTATATTCCAAACCCTATGCGATGTTTCCAATGCCAGCGTTTCGGCCATTCTAAGACGTCTTGTCGTGGCAGCCTTACATGCGCCCGATGCTCACAGATTGGCCAAGATTCTGAAAGTGAAAATTGTACCGCTGCGCCTCTTTCTATATAAATTGCAAGGGTGAGCACCCAGCATTTTCATTTTCACGCCTCTGCCCAAAATGGAAATTGGAAAAAGAAGTGCAGACTGCAAAGTTTACGAGGAACATCTCATATGCGAAGCCGAAGCCAGAAG